AGTCAGCAAGTCTGATGCTCAGCCTCACTTTCTCAGTGTGCTGCAGACTAGCCTTGTTTCCAAGTGCATTTTGACATGTTTTTTTTGTGTGGCGAAGAGGTGGGAGCAGGCTGCCTGCAGTAATTGGTCAGCCGGGATTGCCTGGGTGAAGCTCCTGGAACTCACCCTCATCAATCGCGTCCATTGAAATACAGTTACGAAGCTGTTTATAAACAGTGAGTGTTTGTGTGTGTGCGCGCGCAAATGTGTGTGCATCTATGCTTGTATTCATGCACACATCTGTGGATACTCAGGATGGTGGTTTTGGGAATTGGTAATTATTTAGAAATCTTGGACTAAGTCATAATGATACATTCATTAGAGGAAGAAAACCCAGGTAGGTTTCCTTGCAATGTGGGGGCGGACTGTTGGTGAGGGTATTCAACATTCTGTAGTAATAGCTGAGCAATCCCCGTTGTGTTAATTATAAGAAAAACAAATATAGTAACACAAGAAATGTAACAATAAGAGTAAAAACCCAGCCACCACAATGAGTGTAGCGCGAATGGGTGTGCTAAGCTGCACTGAGCTAAGTCTTTCATGAACACAATCTCATGCAATGTCAACAGCGGGAATTATGGAGCCAGATGCTCTACATTTGAATTACCACTTTATCATTTACTAAAGTTATATGATTTGGGGTACATTGATTAACCTCTTTGTGCCTCTGCCTCAGTTTCATCAACTAAAATGGGTATACTAATTATACCTAATTCTGGCAGATCATCTATTCTCAACTTGATGCATCTTTACTGCCTTCCAAGTCTCCTGTGTGGTGTGGAGAAGCCAACGACTACGGTTCTTAGAACATCCTTTTGAGTATGGCTTTGTGTAGAGTCTGCCAAGGAGAGGCACTTGTGTGAGATTTTCCTAAAAGAAAAGAAGCAGCAGCTATTAAGTTTTAAAGGAGGTGGCTGCAGGCAAATGTGTGGACAGGCAGATGAAAGATTTATAATGGCTTTCGGGGAAGCCTAAGAATCACCTATCTCAGGGCTGCTGGCTGAGAAGGCAGAGAGACCCTCCCAGAAGCCCTTAAGGTGTTTAGTGACCTCTGGGTGAGTGCCGACTCCCACTTGCATAGATGCAGCAGCAGGCAGAAAGGTCCTGGGGGGTTCCCTGAACTCCATTGCGAAGCTTTTCCAAAACCCTGAAAACCTCTAATTTCCTACATTAGAACTCTTGATACTTAGAACAAGCAAAATACTTTTTGTTTTCCTGACCAAATGCTGATGGACACACTATCTCACAGGGTTGTTGTACAAATTTTGTGGGTTCAAACAAATGCTTGGACTAGTGCTTTCCACTTATATTTGCAGCTCATAAGGGCTTGTTATTTAGTTTTCACCTCAACTCTAAGAGGTGGTGGGGGGTAGGAATGTGGTGAGAGGTTCTAGGGTCAGTGTATCTAGGTTTGGGATTTACAGTTAATTTGCTTATGAGCTTTGGTTGGACAAATTTATACATACTTCGGGGATAGAAGTGGCACTTGCTTCATATGATTGTTGAGAAGATGGAGAGTTAATTATACATAAAGCAAAAGCACCTGCTACAGAGTCAGACCCTATGCTTATTAGCACGTTGACACATTGTTCAGAAGATTGGGTTCTCAGAGATCAACGCTCTGTTCATCTTCCTGGAGTCATCTGGAAGTGTGGGGAGTTGCTTCTGCAGACCATGCCTGGGTTTCCCATAAATGCTCCTGCAATTGCCTCTCGCTGGTGTTCACCTTCCTATCAGACTGGCCTCCAGTCTTTCCTGTTGCCACCTGCTCCCCTTCACTGGGCCTCCCTGCCGGTGAGCGGCCTTGCCCTCATGATCTGCTGTGGCATGCTCCCAATTTCTGGCTCTTCGGGTCCCGTTGAGCTTCCTCCAAGTTGTCTGTGATATGTGAGATTGGCCAGGGGATAAAGAAATACCTATCACCGACCGTCCGGTCACTGCCCCATGTAGGACACTTTAAGGGAAATAGTTTACTTAACAAAGCAAGTTAAATGAATGTTTTCCCTAGCTGGACCTTGGGCCCCAGACTCAAGTGTAGAACTCCCGTGAGACTGGCTGTACCAGGGAGAGTGAGGGACTATGTTAACTTCTCTTCCCGGGTCCTCAAGCGGTGCGGTTTCAAAGACAAGAACTTCCCAGCGCCATACCTCTATCCACTCCCACCATCCGGCAACTTAGAGTTCTTTGTCTAAGTTTCCCATGCGCGTGAAGGTAGACTGCCCAGGTAAGCTTCCTTTGTTTAAAAAGCCCTTGAAAAGCTATGGGAGGACTGTGGGCCAAAAAACCAATCCGATCTCAAAGTCAAAAATCAATCACTTCAGCGGAAGTTTGAGGGAACGCTTCTCATAGGACAAGGACTTGAATGGAGCGGGAGTAACTCCCAGATTAAAAGTCCCCCTGCCCCTCACCTGTTCAGATTTCCCTTTCTGGGATCCCCTGCTATGGCAGTGTGGGAGCTCTCTTGCTCTCTTTTTCTCTGTCTCTCTCTCTACCTAACAAATCACTTTTCTGCAAAACTCTTTGGGTCCGATATTTACTTGGACGAGCCCACAGCACCCCCAAGGCCACTTCCCCCGTTCCTGGGGCAGGGGAGCCAAGAACTTGGAACACCCAGTTACAGGAGGATGCTTTTTTTTCTTAAGGCGAGTCGCCAGTGCAGGCCCAATGACAGCTCCAGAACTTTGTATCACTCTAGTCCAATCTGAGCAAAAGGTAAGTACACTTTCCACCTCATCACCTCCTTCATTATAAATCAGGACAAAATGAATTGCCACAGAGGCTGATATAAAAAGATGGTGAGCTTCGACTGATAAGATGTTACATCAGGACAAAGGTTGAGCCACAAGTTTAAGAAAGAAGGCTTCACAATAACCTGGCATATCAGATCCCTTTCCGAAGGCAAAGATAGAGATTGGCATGCTGGGGCATTGAGAGGCAGAATATTTGGAATTGGACAGATATGGTTAAGATTCTGGCTGAGCCACCTCCATGAGTCTGTGAACTTTTAAATCCTTCATCTTTGTCATTTATGAACATGAAGATCATGTTATTTATTTTCAGAATTGTGGTCAGCATCTGAAAGACAATGTCTGTGATAAAGTTGAGGGTATAGTATGTGTGGAATAAATGGACTTCTCCTTCTATTTAAATAGTTTGCCAAAATACCCTCTCTGATAGCAGTGAAAACAATTTTTGTTTGAGGAGTAACATAGGTGTGTATACATGCTTAGAGCAGGTCCTGGGATGCCAAAAGTGCTACGTCGGTGTTAGTTAAGTAAGCATTTTAATTCCATCATTAAAAAAGAAATACACTTGCGAATACAATATAGACAAGTCATAATTATAAATTTTAGAGGTTTAGGGATAGAACTTGAGGTCTCACTAGTGTGACAACATTAATAATGGTGTGTGAGCGTTTCTAAATTACACTTTTTTCTAAAAATAGAAAATTGAATAAAGTCTCCTCCAGAATGAAACCTTTGCTATTAAACTGGAAGGATTTTAGCAAATGCCACACTCCTGCCTAAGGCTTCCTTTGAACCAAGTCAATAATTTTAGAGATTTGTGGGTAGTTGTGGAATTTACATCATGGTATAAAAATTCAAAATGGTGGTCGGGGCACAGATGATTCTGTGCAAATCCCTGAATTTTTGTCATTTCCGATGGTGACATTTTTCAAATGACATCCCTGTAAATACTGAATAATAATATGTTCCAGACAGAGCCCTCAGGGGACAGGAGAAGAGAATGAGAATGGAGCAGAATTAAAACTGACAAGAAGAGAGACGGCATGGAAGATAAATAGCAAGTGTGGCTCTGTGAGAGGAGCAGGGGCTGCAGAGCTGCTCAGATGATTGCATGATTGATGGAATCAGTTGCAGAGGAAATGTCCAGTAATGTAGGAACAGATCAGTATTGAGAGATAAATCATCCTGCAATCGTACGGCGCTATCTCAACACTAATGGGGTTGAGAAACAGCAGAGTTTTGAGGGAGGTCTTGAGATAATTGTTTTCTAACAACCTGTTCCTGTGTATTGGTGAGAAAGTTGAATCAAACTGGGGACAGCATTGCCATGCCACAGGCATAAGGACTGGGGGAGCAATAGACTTTTACCATTGAATTGAAATTTCAGTAGCTCTTGGGCTACTTGCCATCTAAAGGCAAGGGAGCTTTTTTCCTTGCAAACAGAATTCAGATCCCAACGCCAAATTGCCACTTTGCTCTCCACTCTTCTTCTTGAATTTTCCCTGTTAATTCCCCGAGGAATATCCTGGCTGTCAGCCCACGCCACGTCTTTCTGGACACCAGGAAAAGCTTTTTTTAAAAGAATGCTAACCATGCCCTAATTTGAGCCAGCGATTATGTAAGAAGGAGAAAGTAGTGCAAGGGAGAACAATGCCATTTATTGAGGGCTTACTGTTTGTGTGGTAGGCACGGTGTTTAGCACATGTGAGTCTCAGGAATCCCAACAAATACAATTGATGGACCAATAGGAACTGAAACTGGTTAGGTGCACCTAACCATCTAACCAACTTAATACATCTTACATGAAGATGTAAGACACATTAAGTGAAGGCGAAAAGGTGGAATAAAAACCTTAGGAGCTCATGAGTAGGGTCTGGGTGAGCATTTATCCAAGTCAGAGAAAACATCATTAGACTAGGGGATCTGGAGGCCTTTCTTCGCATGAGATTCTATAGATTGGAAAATACTCTTAGATCACTATTTGCCTCCAGCAATTTAAGGGAAAATGCTTCTCAGAGACATGGAGGGGTGCTCAGTGACACCTTACTTCCTATTTTAATGTGGGAGACTCTTGGGTTAGCCAAAAAGCAGATCTGACCGGACTTGAAGGAGTTAAAGAGCGGTTCTACTACTTATTCTTTCACAACATATCCCTCTAGATTTGCACAGCCTTTCTGGCATTTAGAAATGCTATTTGCTGTTTATATCAAGGACTGTTGCAGTCAGACAGTATGACATAGTCTATATTGATGTTTTTAGAAGTATTTTATACAGTTGACCCTTTAACTGCATGGGTCCACTTATACATGAGTTTTCTTCTCCTCTGCCATCTCTGAGAGAGAAAAACCAACCCCTTCTCATCCTCCTCCTCCTCTGCCCCTACTCAACATGAAGATGATGAGCATGAAGATGTTGATGACAATCTACTTCCAGTTAATGAAGAGTAAAAGTATTTTCTCTTCCTTATAATTTTAATAATATTTTCTCAATTATAAGAATACAGTACATAATACATATAACATATAAAATATATGTTAATCAGCTTTATGTTATCAGTGAGGCTTCAGGTCAACAGTTGGCTATTAGCAGTTAAATTTTGGGGGAGTCAAAAGTTATATATGGATTCTTAACTGTGGGGTTGGTGCACCTAACCACTGGGTTGTTCAAGGGTTGACTGCATATATAATTTATATATATGTATAAATACATAATTAGTTAATTTATATATAATAATTTATATATTATATGTATAATTTATAAATAAAACATGTAGGTTATATGTTATATATAACATATAATAACATATATGTTATATATTGTATATAAATAAATTAATTATGTATTTATACATATATAAATTATATATATTGCATATTATATATAATATAAACATATATGTTATATATTATATGTTATATATAATACGTAACATATATGTTATATATTATGTTATTATAGCATATATATGTATATATGATATATAACATAATATATACATATATAAGTTATATATTATATATAACATAATTAATTAATAATTAAATTAATTTATTAATAATAAATAATATATAATATATGTTACATATTATACAAATTATATATAATTATAGCTTATGTTAAATATAATTATCTATAAACCTATATATCTTGTATAACTATGTATGCTATATACTATATATAATGATATATAAGTATATAACATATAAATATATAATACATAATAAATATATAATTATATATAAAATATGATATAAACATATAATATATGCTATATAATTATACAAGTCATATATAGGTTTATATATAAATGAATTTTATTTTATAAATCCTTTTATAAATTTTATATTTTATTTTATAAATCCTTTCTTATATGAATAGTGTATATATAGTAGTTTTCATATATATACACGTTATATAAAATAAAGTATGTGTATATATTATACACAGTGTACATACACACATGCATATATATATATATATATACCCCCACACTATATATATAAAATACATGTATAAAATATAAGGATGAATTTATAAAATAAAATTTATCCATATAGAAATCCGTGTGTGTGTGTGTGTGTGTGTATGTAAAATGTAAGAATTGATGAATACACTCATAGGTGGGTGTTGAACAATAAGAACACATGGACACAGGGAGGGGAGCATCACACAGTGGGGCCTGTCGGGGGCAACTAGGGGAGGGACAGTTGGGGTTGGGGAGTTGGGGAGAGATAGCATGGGGAGAAATGCCAGATATAGGTGATGGGGAGGAATGCAGCAAATCACACTGCCATGTGTGTACCTATGCAACAATCTTGCATGTTCTTCACATGTACCCCCAAACCTAAAATGCAATAAAAAAAATTGAGAAAGAAAAAAAAAAAGAATTGATGAATATAAGAAACACACACTTTTAAAGAAAGAGAACAAGTTTATCCTCACACAACCCTGGAAAATATGTTTTTGTTCATTTCACACATAAGGCTATTAAAGTCCAGGAAAAGTGAAGTCTTTGTCTAAGTTAGCGTTAGAATTTGAATCAGGCTTCATTCCTCTTCCCATCTTCCTATTCTCTGATTTCTTTACTTGTGATTCTTTCAAAGATATGAGTATTCATGTGGTCTGTGCTCCTTAATTCCCTCTACAATCTTACCCATAATACAAAAGCACCTAATAGCAACAGAAGTCTGTTTCACCTATAATACTATGAGATGATCATCCTGCTTAATTGCTAAAGACCCAGCTGAATATAATTTTAAGCTATTTGTTACCAGAACAGACTCTGGGGTTCTCTGTTATAGTTTCTGAATGTAACTTTTTCTGTGCTGAGCTAAGTTTATCCAGGCATGGAGGCAAAGAACGCAGCTGTTTAATTAAAAGGAATGGCTTATGTTTAGATGAGATTCTTGTAATCATTGGGAATCTAACCAGATTTTAACACAGCGTTATTTTTATTTGTGTGTAGATATTTCTAAGGAACTCCCTATATCTTTATAGCCCCTCCAGAGCCCATTCTAATAGAATGGCTATTTACCATCCTATAAAGCTGTTAAATTCACTCATAGAATACTGAAGCTGAAGGTAATCTTAGAGATAATCTATTCTTGTGCCTTTATTCTACAGATGGAGAAACTGAGGCCCAATTATTTAAAAAAATCATTAAAGGTCACACAAAAGATTGTCAAAGGTGAAATCCAATTTATCACTATTTTCCCAGGACTTTCTCAGTTTGAAAACTGAGGCAGGGCATGGTGACACATGCCTGTAGTCCAAGCACTTTGGGAGGCTGAGACGGGAGGATCCCTTGAGCCCTGGAGTTCAAGACCAGCCCGGACAATACAGTAAGACACTGTCTTCACAAAAAAATTAAAAAGTTAGGGGGTGTGGTTGTACACACATATGGTCCCAGCTACTTAGGAGGCTGAGGCAGGAGGATCACTTGAGCCTGGAAGGTCAAAAGGTTGAGGCTACAGTGAGTCATGATCATGCCACTGCATGCTGGTCTGGACAAAAAAAAAAGAAAACTGAAAAAAAAAAATTAAAAGAAAACTGAGGCTGCGCGTGGTGGCACACGCCTATAATCCCAGCACTTTGGGAGGCCAAGGTGGGCAGATCATAAGGTTACCATCCTGGCCCACATGGTGAAACCCTGTCTCTACTAAAAATACAAAAATTAGTTGGGCGTGGTGGCATGCACCTGTAGTCCTAGCTACTCGGGAGGTTGAGGCAGGAGAATCACGTGAACCCAGGAGGTGGAGGTTGCAGTGAGCCAAGATCACACTACTGCACTCCAGCCTGGTGACAGAGTGAGACTCCAGCTCAAATAAGTAAATAAATAAATAAATAAATAAATAAAATAAAAAGAAAAGAAAGCTGAAAGTCCTGTGTCCCTGGGACTCTCTTAGTTCTGAGCAAATTGGGATGGCTGTCATCCTACCTTGCACTCTCTCTATGTTGGTTGCTTATTTCACTGGCATAAATGCAAAATGGACAGATTTGGAGGGGAATTGCATGCTGTGGTTATTGATAGTATTCTAGAAACTGGACAGACAGACCCCAAGTATGCTCTTTGGAGTGTCTGGCAGTGAGCAAACACTCAGCAAACATTCATTGAATCAAGGAGTGAATGAGAATGCAAGCCACTTGAAGTAGGTGTCATCAGTAGTTCATTTTTCTCAATGTTGTTCTAATTCCCATTGAGAGAGTATCAATGATTTCCTGCTTTTTAACCTGCCTACATTTTGTTCTTGAGTTCCTAGGTAAGATTAAGCTGCATGTAACCTATGGAGCTGCTGTTTTGCAGATGGTCGTTCCCAAGGTGCTTTTCACAGTGTTTTTGAATTATCTTGCCAATATTTCCGGAAAAGCAGCAAAAAGAATGGAAAGAAAAGCTATCATAATGAGAAATGACAGGAAAGCAACTCCCTCATGGGGTTGTCAGAGAAAGAATTGTTGAATAATTCAAATAACAGATTTGTTCATTTCTAAGCCATTTCCTGCCCCAGCTTTGGAAACATTTACAGAAAAGTTCTGGACTAGGAATTATCCAAGACCTGATTTCATTGTTGCCAAGGGATCAGTTGAAGGGATAAGCTCCTTCGGGCGGCTTGGGGAAATTACCATGGTTTGAGGTCACTTGCAGAATTTTCTGTGTTGGCAGTCCCTAGGTTGCCTGTTCCTTGCCCCAGGAAAATGTAGACAGGGCCAGCACCTCATACGTCTCTGAAAATAAAATGTACTGAGTTCCCGGGTAGCTCAGCATTAGGTATTGCAGCTGCCCAGCAGAATCACTGGTTCTTATTGTTTTTAAATTTATTTATTTACTTATTTATTTATTTGCAGCTGTATCTGGGCATGGGAAGGGGTAGGAGCTGGCAGTGAAACTCATGTAGGTTATGAGTCCAGGTGAAAGTAATTTGGCTCTTTTTAAGGAATTTCTGCAAAAGTTTAGAGGTCATAATTGGGAAAAGTTATATTTTGGATAATCATCTGTGAAATCCGTTTATCCATATCATCCCTGGCCTTGTTATCACAGGTCACTGAGGGTTGGCTATACTTGTTTCTTATCTGCCCCAAGAGGACCTGGGGAGGATTTATTATCTCTTGCTACTAAATCCCTGACCATATGTGTATCAATTTACCAAGCAGCCTCATATGTGCTTGGGGACATCCCTGAGAGATGGTTCCATCATGAGAGCATTTCATAAGTTCTTACTATTACAAATACCACCTCACATTTGATAAGCTTTTACCTTTATTTTTCCAGCTAATTTTACAGGTATTATATTTTTATCTGCAAAACTCTTCAAGGGAGGTAAAAGTGTTATTAATGTTCCCGTCCCTGACAGATAAGAAACTTAAGTAACAGAGAAATGAGGTGATTTTTCAGAAGTTATTCATGTCAGAGCTGGTCCTAAAACCCAGGTCTCTTACAGGAATTCAAATGTTCACCTTTTTCTACTCTTCTTTGCAAATGCCTCTACTATTACTGATTGAATGGTAAGCCCTCTGAGGAAATGGGTTGGATGGAAACTCTTGCTTTGTTGGAAGTTCTTACTTGAAAGGTCCATCAAACTTAAACAAAGACCAGCATATTTTGAATTTTAAAAAATGCAGGGCTGCTCAAATTAAGCTGAAGGGGGATTTGTGTTTACTTAGCAATTTCGGATGCCAGTCACTGTGACAAGTACTTCTTATACGTTATCTACACTAATGCTGCTGAGATGTTTGCACAGTGTCTGGTTTGTTTTAAGCTAGATAGTGACATGTAGGTGATATCCAGGACAGTGAACTGTTACCAAAGTACAAGGCATTGTAAGTCTCTTGATTTGAGTACCAATACATCCTTGTACATATATACTCAAGAGATATGCCAGTTTAAGTAAAATTCAATAGATATTGGTTGAAAATCACTTATTGTGCTTGGCACCAAATAAAACATGATCTCTTTCCTTCAAGGAGTTTGCGATCCAATGAAGGAAGCAGACCACTGATTAAAATATGGGTAAAAAGACTATCAGCTAGCATCCATGTGGTAGAAATCGTCTGTAAGAAGGTAGGCTTCCTAAGGGCAGGAGTCCATATCTCCAGAATTTAGTTGCTTCCTGAAGATTTGGTGAATGAAAAAAAAAA